ACCAGCTGCTTCCTTCCTTGGTTATCATCCACTGCAGCTGCTAGTTAGGTTTCGAGGGATGACTTTTAGTAAATCTTGGGGATTTTATTGATTTGTTTTCACTTTTGGGATTTTGTGGGGTGGGAGTGGGGAGCAGGAATTGCATTCAGACATGACATTTCCATTCATCTCTGCTAATGAAAAGGGTCCTTCCTCTTGGGCGATATCTGTGTGTCAGTTTTGTCAGCTGCAAGTTCTTGTATAATGAAGTCAATGCCATCAGGCCAAGGAAATAAAATAATTGCTTAACTTAAAAAAAATGGCTTCTGAAGTTTTGGCAAAACCTGAGATGCGTGGCCTTCTGGCCAGGTGTCTGCGAATTCGTATGGTTGAAGCATTCCTAGTATCCCTGGGGGTTGCAGTTCTCTTAAGTTTGGTGTGGCTGAACCAAGAAAGAAGGCATACGCAGATTTCTACAAAAATTACAGTCCTGAGAAAGATTTTGAGGAGATGAGAAAAGCCGGTATCTTTCGTGGTATAACGTGATCTTGGAATAGAAAGAATTTCTTCAGGTTCAATTACCTAGAGGTTTGTCACTGACTCGGGTACCTGAACTATGACACCTGAATATGTGGACTAAGAAATAGTTTCTCTTGATAAATAAACAATTAACAAATTAAAAAAAAAATCTATTTCCCTTTGAAATGAGCTCAGCCTCTCACTTAAAACAACAGTACTTTTCCTCAGAGACAGTGTTACGATTCATCGTCTTATACCCTCAGTAATTTTAATATCAATTTATTATTTCCAGATTTTCTGTTTAACTGCAGACTTTCTGTGCATTGATCGTTACAGAAGTTCTAGCTGTTTCCCTTATTGGGTCATCATCTGTCTTAGAAAACTGGGATTTGAAATGAAACTGAGTTTGGTGATTTTGATATTGAGATTCCCCTGATCATGTGGTCTGATAAAAATGTTTAATGTGTGTAATGGACTCATTCAGTAAATATGTAGTGAGTGCCTGTGATGTGCCAGACACTGTACCGGGTGCTTGAGATTCAGCACGAGGTTGCCTTTAGGAAACTTACATTCCATGTAGGGGAAGCAGAGAGAGCTGCATATCAGATAATGATGAGTGCTTTAAAAAAAAAATATTTAGCACAGTAAGGGATATTGGGAATAGAGAAGAGATTGCTGGGTCCTTTAAAGTTTTTTCCCCAGCTTTATTGAGGTATAATTGCAAATACTGTCTATATTCAAGGTGTGCAACATGATGTTTTGATATCTGTATACATTGTGAAATGATTCCTACAATCAAATTAACACGTCCTTGACTACAGATTTCATGCATCTGTGGTGAAGACACTGAAGATCTACTCTCTTAGCAAATTACAAGTAAATAATATAGAATTATTAACTCAAGTAAATAATGCAGTATTATTAACTAAAGTCACCATGCTATACATCAGATTCCCAAAACATATTCACTGTGTACCCAAAAGCTTGTACCCTTTGGCCAACGAGATTGCTGTTTTGGATAGGATGTGTGGGGAAGGCCAACTTGATAAGGTGTCATTTGGCAAAGACTGAAGGTAGTGAACCACACAAATGCTTGAAGAGCAATCCAGTCCTAAGAAACAGCTGTCCAGGAAGAAAGACAACTGTTATCTTAATTCCAGAATCTTAGCCTGATAGTTCTAGCAGAACCTATTTCAGATTCTCTTTCTCTTACCTGTTACAAATGTGTTAAATTCAGTTTTTTCTCCAATGTTCTACCTATGAGACTTTTTCCATTCACCTTAACTGCGTTTTTCCCTGTAAACTGAAAGCAGGAAAACTGTTTCCTAAGAACCCACTGTTTTGTTTGTTTGTTTGCTTAATTTTACAAATGGTTGACTTTGAAGAAATAATATCAGAAAAAAAATTTGTTTTCCAAAAAAAATGAAAAAAAATTTTGTTTTACTAGAATATCTTTCTAATGTTATTTGTGATTTCCTCTTACTAGGTTGCTGCAGAGATGGTGCAAACCTTAATGGAAAGAAATTCAGAATTACTGTGTCAGTTATTTGGAAGGGAGAGACTCCATGATGTCCCAAGCACCCATCTCTAACCAATGAGCTGAAGTTCCCGCCATTGGCCCTCCTCTTGGAGAACAGACTGATCAAGTAAGAACTATAGACTTAGATAATTCATGCGGAATGTGTTTCCTTTTTACATTTGAGGTGTAAGTTTGATAATTTTAATACAAAATTGTGAGAATATTCTCAGTGCTGTCATTGTGGTCATAGTTCCTGCATCTTCCTAAGTCCCCCAGTTTTTTAGAGTTCAGTGCAGATACCTTCCATAGATGATAGTACTTCATTGACTGCCAAAGAAGATGCCAGCATACCCAGATCCACATTAGGTAAGTATGAAATTTCATTTCATTCAGGGACTTTGTTTTCTGTTAATCTTTGTATTGATAGGTTTGGCTAAGACTCTTTTCTTTTCTTACCTTAGTGGAAAAAATAAGTTTGGAATTCCTCTGAAAGGCTGACGAACTGTCCTTACCTTATGTTGAGTTGAGGTTGTTGCTTTGGGGTCACAATTTGGCCCAGAGAAAGTCTGTCCTTATTCTCCTTTTCAGGTAGTTTTGCAGGGATTCAGAAATGCAGGAGGTAGTGGTTCTAATCCTGCACAGCAAGGCCATGTGCTGACAGCTTTTCCTGGGTATCTTTCAAGTCTGGGGCCACTCGCTATAACTTGACATCACCTACATTAAACTCTTAGGAAGGGTAGGCAGTGTACATTGAGTCATTTGCCAATTCTCTAGTTTGAAAACGTTATACTAATCAAAGAGTAAAATAATGTTGGATTTGTTTTATTAATTCTTTATATGCCTTTTTTAAAAAGTGTACTTTTCTCTAAATTTTGTATTTTGGAAATTTCAAACCTACAGAAAAAGGGCAAGAATAGCATAGTGAAGACTCATATACATTTTTATTCAGAATTATTAACATTCTGCCACAATTGCCTTATTTCTTTGTATGTACACACATATATGTGGATGTAATGTATTTTCTGAACCATTGGAAAATTACTGACAGAAATCATGACACTTTATGCTGCATACATCAGCATTTCCTCAGAACAAGAGCATTCTCCTACATAGCTGCAATACAATTATCACACTCGGAAAATTTAACCTTGATAGAAGCTTAGTGTCTAATACACAATCCACATTCAGAGTTCCTATTGTCCCAATAATGTTCTGTATAGCTATTTTGGTTTCTGCCATCCCAGGGGTTATGCATTGTGCTTAGTTGTCATGTCTCTGAGTCTCTAATCTAGAACAATTGTTGAGCTTTTATTTCTTTTTGGCGAGACTGGCATTTCTGAAGAATTCAGGACTGTGACTATTCCTTAATTTAGCCATGATTGTTTTCTTGTGATTAGGTTCCAGTTAAACATTTTTGGCAGGAATACCATATGGATGACTTTTCCCTTCCCCTCCCCTCACCACCCAACCCCATTTCTTTTCTTATCTCTCTCTCTGTCTCTTTTTGTTTTTTTTTTTGTGTGTGACAGAATCTGTCATTGCCCAGGCTGGATTGCAGTGGTGAAATCTCAGCTCAATGCAACCTCTGCTTCCCGGGTTCAAGGGATCTTCCCACCTCAGCCTCCCAAAGTGGAGCTAGAACTACAGGCATGCGTCACCATACTTGGCTAGTTTGTTTTTGTTTTGTTTTGTTTTGTGTTTTTAGAGATGGGATTTCACCGTGTTGGCCAGGCTGGTTTAGAACTCCTAGCCTCAAATGATCCACCTGTCTCAGCCTCCCAAAGTGCTGGGATTACAGGTGTGAGCCTGGATGACATCTTTCTTAGTGCATCACATCAGTGCATGGTAATCAGTTTGTATCATCCTTGGTGATATGAAATTTAGTCATGAGGTTATGGTTGTAGCTGCTAAATCTGTCCATTACAAAAGGTTCATTTTCCCCTTTATATGTAAGTCATCTGCTGGCTGAATTTGAGATGTTGACAGTTCTGTTTTCCGGCAATCATTCACTCAGTGGCTGTAGTATCATTTGAGCCTTGCTTGAACCAACTCTTATATTGGTAGCTTAAAAATAGTGATTTTTCAGGGCTGGGCATGATGGCTCATGCCTTTAATCCCAGCACTTTGGGAGGCCCAGGAGAGTGGATCACTTGAGCTCAGGAGTTTGAGGCCAGACCGGGCAACATGATAAAGCTACATCTCTACTAAAAATACAGAAATTAGTCGGGCATGGTAGAACGTGCCTGTAATCCCAGCTATGCAGGAGGCTGAGGCAGGAGAACTGCTTGAATCCGGGAGGCAGAAAGGTTGCCCCACTGCACACCAGCCTTGGCGACAGAATGAGACTCAGTCTCAGAAAAAAATTATGATTTTCTGTTTGCAAAATTTCTTATTTAAGCCGGGTGTGGTGTTTCACGCCTGTAATCCTAGCACTTTGGGAGGCTGAGGTGGGTGGATCACCTGAGGTCAGGAGCTCAAGACCAGCCTGGCCATCATGGTGAAACCCCATCTTAAAAAAAAAAAAAAAAATTTCTTCTTTATTTCTTTGTGGATATTATTTTATAAAGAAGAACTGTCCTTTCCCTATCTCTGTACCCCATTTGTTTTTATCAATATGGATTTTAAAAAATCATTATATTATTGATTTCAATAATGATTTCCTTTACTCCTCAAATTAACCCAGATTCAGTCAGTGGGAACCTCATCAAGCTATTTCTCTGACCCTTTGCCATATCCCCATCAGTTTTTTTCGTTTGTTTTGTTTTTGTTTTTTGCACTTTAATAGTTTCTAGCACAGTAAGGTGTTCTACGAGTACCTTTTACTTTAACTGCCTCAGTCTCCGAATCAGCCATTATCCTAAAGAGCTCCCTGGTTCCTTCTGGTGGGTAATGGCATTGACAAACTGTGATCTGGGCACAAGATGTCTTTATTGCTACATGGATACCTTTTGCTTCTAGGCCCTTTTAAGTGAACAGAGCTAGCAGTGAATATTTTTAAGAATATATGTGTGTATTTGTATACATATGAAGATTTGATACTGAGTTCTGTAATTCTAATTTAACAATATAGTTCTTTTTTCCTTCATTTCATATTTGTATCTCCTTCAGAGCCCTGGTTACTTATAACATCAATATATTTCAAAAGATTTACACATTTGCAGGATACTATAATATGCAAAAGTAGTTCCTGAATCACTACATAAATACCACTATGAACAGTAAATGTATTATGTAATGTTTATATTTTTTTGTAATTCTTTTTATCCTTAAGGTATTTTTGTAATTCTTTTTATCCTTAGGGTATTTTGCACTGACAGTGTTCAGTTAGTGAGTTCAAAAATTATTTGGATTAATTTGTCTTATCTTTTGGGTGGTTTTATTATCTATTTACTATATAGTTTCATTTATTTATATTAGGATTGAATTTTAGGTTTTCTATTTCCCATTAATTGTCAAGGTGACTTACATATTAAGAATGAAACATTAACACAGTTCAAAACTGTTCTGTTGAGAACACTGAAAGTTGAGGGCATGTAGTGCTAGCTTTTGGCAGGATTCCTCAGAGGTGGTGGCATGTTCTTCCATCTGGAGGCATGTACTGTTTGGTGATCTCGTGATGTTAGCAGCTTTTGTGGTTTGATGCCTAATCCATTAATTCATTAAGGGTTGCAAAATGGAGATATCCTAATGCTATCATTTTTTCCTCTATTAGCTGAAGTACTTGCATAAAAACTTCATCTCTTCTTGCTTCTGCTAATGGTCACCATTCTTTTTCAGTATCATAATAAGCTTATTAAACAAATTTGATGTGTTTTATGGTGTCAGTTATGGTGGAAGATGTCATTAAAAACAACTATTACATCTTCCCATAAAACATTGTTTGTTACTATACTGCATGGATTTTTTATTTGATCCTGTAGAGCCCTGTTCTTATCTCGTTTTCTCTTGCATTACTGGCTGATACTGATGTGATATGCGAAAGCATTTGCCTCCGTGTTAAAATGTAAACATGGCAGCTATTGTTTCCTCTATTCACAGTTGGAACTTTCTGCTCTGCAGTCCATGATGGCTGTGCAAGAAGAAGAGCTGCAGGTGCAAGAGGAAGAGCCGCGGGTGGGGGAGGAAGAGCCGCAGGTTGGGGAGGAAGAGCCGCAGGTTGGGGAGGAAGAGCCGCAGGTGGGGGAGGAAGGGCCACGGGTGGGGGAGGAAGGGCCCCGGGTTGGGGAGGAAGGGCTGCGGGTTGGGGAGGAAGGGCTGCGGATGCGGGAGGAAGGGCTGCGGGTGCAGGCTGCTGATACGAAGCCTCTGACCAGGAAAATACAGGTTAAAGAAAACCTCATGAAGGTCCTTCCAAACTTTTTACACACCATTGGAAATGTT